GACTCAAGCAGTGGTATTATTTTTAATGTCCAACAGGGATTTTAACACATGGTGAGAGTTAAGAACCACTGTTCTAGAATACACGCACATGAGGATTGCTCCACATCCATTTTAGACATGATTCATCACTTCTCTGTTATGAGAACTGAAGATTTAGTTACTTACACAGCTCTGTCTTTCCCCAGCCCCTTGCTTCTCATTTTGGGTAGTTAAATAATTCTTAATGTTTTCCCATTTATTGCATTTATAATTTAATATGCTTGCACTTCTATGTCTGGTTCATCAGACTTAAATATTATCAAGTTTAAACACATTCCCCACTACGTAAGATGAAACTATCACCCTTCTTCCCTGTCTTCCTCCTTTGCCTATCCCAGCTACCGACTTCTACTGCCCCATCAGTGTCTGCACAGCGTGAAGATTGATAGCAGTTGCACTGTGTTCTATGGCACTATTCTATGATTATTATTTATTTATATCAAATATTTTACGTGTGAATATATGCATGTGTCTTTACAGAGACAACACATAATAAGGTTTAAGAATCTTTCTCTACTACTTCCTAGCTTTCTGATCTTGGACAAGTCATTTAACTTTTTTTTTTTTTTGCATCAGTTCTTCATTTCTAAAAAGGGGAAAATAATATTCATCTTGGGATTTTTGTGAGAGTTATATTAATATAATTAATGGCACAGAGAAAAGACTCATTATATGTTAGTTACTTTTACTGTGTATCCCAGTCTTGTGCAAACATTACATTTCTTCCTTCAACACTTCAATATAGTGATCTCTACACTACACGAAGTATAACATTTCTTGAATCAAGGGTAAATGGATTTTTTTATGCACTAACAATTGCCTTTTTAAAAATGACATTTTAAAATTTTCTTTCATATTCAGCCTCAGATTTCCATATATAGTTTCCTTCTCACCTTGCCAGGAGGCTAAACACCTTCCTTTTTTTCTTATTTTCTAAAACAATGTGCCCCCACTATATCTTCAAAATATTCCAGTCTTTCCATTATATCATCTACAACTGCATGGAATTCACTTTCTTTTTGGGGTCATCCATCTACCCCTCTGACCTCTTGCTGCAATTTAGGCCAGATGATTTCTAGGCTCTGCGGGTACCACTGGAGTCTATCACTGTTTCCTGGACTCCACAATTTCCACTCTCTGCGCTCTCTGGTTTTGTCAGTATATATCCTCAAATAACTTCCTCAGAATGACACATGAAAGGCAATTTTTAAAAATCTTTCCATGCCTGCGAAATCTTATTATTTGCCATCATGCAATTGTATTCAAACTCCTAGCAGTATTTCTTTTAATTGACAAACTCATTCTAAAATCCATAGGAAACACAAAGGCTCTAAAATAATCCAAACAGCTTTGAAAAAGAAAAACACTAATTCTGCCTAACTTCAAGACTTGTTTTAAAACTATAGTATTTGAAAAAGTGAGATATTGGCATAAAGATAAATATCTCAATGCCTGGGATATCCCCCAAATCCCAACTGCCCTAACTTGCCACCTGTTTCCATTTGGGAAGCACAAAGCAGACCTGATGAGCTGGTGTCTGGACAGCACCATGCAGAAATGCATCTGTAATGATACCTGCATTTTAGGCCTCGGAAGCCCCATCAGCACCATGGGGCCAGCCTCCATAGAGGCCTCTTCTTGCAACTGGGGTGTTATTGACAACTAGAAGTGTTATTGGACACCTCAAAGTCTGTGTCTACTCATCACTGCTGTCCCTACCCTAGTTCAGATCGCCATGCCCCTGTCCAGAATTTCATACCAGCCTCCCATGGTATCCCTGGTTGAGATCCTGTCCCTTCCCATCCCTTTTGTCTGAAGTGCACAGCTACGAAGTTCCGTCTCCACGTGCCTGCTGCCAGCATGCAGGCCTCAGTTTCACCTGCAGGAGACTGTTGCCTCTCTCCTCTTTCTGCAATCCAGTTTTTCCAACGCGTTCGCTCTCTCACATTCCGGTCTTTGCACAGGTTTTTCTGTGCTTGGAACACACTTTCTTCCGGAGCTCTCCCTGGCCACATCCGTGGCATCTCCGTTTAGGCCGCACCGCCCGCTGCACTGTACCCCGGCCCCTCCTCCGCTCCGGACTGCCCGCTCCGGGCTGCCGGCTGCCTCGCTCACCGGCTTCTGGCAAGTGGCAAACAACCGCTACATGCGCATCAAAATACGAAAAGAAGTAGAAACGTGTATAAGGGAATAGTTTTGTTTTTTTTAAATCAACACAATTCCTCTTTCCCGGGCCGTTATTGGGGAGTGTCTGGCATTATTTTAGAGTTGTCCCAGTGCTGTGAGGCTGGCTTGCATTACGCTTTCATGAGGGCTAAACAGGGAAACCAGGCTGTGGCTGGGTTTTCTGCACATGCTATTAGCAGTGATGTCTTTTTAATGGTTGCCACCGCCTTGCCGCGCGGACTGCGAGTGCCGCCTCCTGCGAGTGCCGGCCTCCTGCGAGTGCCGCCTCCTGCGAGTGCCGGCCTCCTGCGAGTGCCGCCTCCTGCGAGTGCCGCCTCCTGCGAGTGCCGGCCTCCGGCGAGTGCCGGCCTCCGGCGAGTGCCGGCCTCCGGCGAGCCTGCGAGCAGCCCCGCGGGCCGGCAGGGGCCAGGCTCGGCGACCCAACGCGCCTGCGCGGCTTCCCGGATGTCGCTGGCGCCTGTGTTAGGGAAAGCGGCAAAACCAGGAGGCTTCTTGACACATTTGTAACTGATGCTCCCAGTGGAGAAAGGATCTGGGAGTCCAGTCGTGAACTGGCCCTTTTCAGGGAGCTTTATGAGAACACCCCTTCCTTCTCAAGCCACATCTGCGCTCCTGCTGAATGGGCTTTCTTAGATCTTCCTTGTGAACACACATGCGACCCACAGCCAAGGATCGTGCATTTTGGAGATGGCTATATACCAGGATAAATACAGGTTAATTTTGCTCACAGATAATGAGATTGTTGGCTTTTTCTTCCCAATTTATGTAGGTAATGATTCTGATTTCTTTTATCAAACATACCAGTTATTACAAGCATAAATGAGTTCAGAAAATCTTGAACACAGGCCTTTTGGGACACTGTGCATTTATAAAAAACTGTATTTTCCCTGATCATATCCTTTCTGGAGCCCTTGGTACTGGGCAAGGCCCCTGAGCCTATGACACGTTCTTTTAGAAAGGGTTAAAAAACACTCAGAACGATAGGGTGACTAGGGCAGGTAAGTAAAATGGATACTTCTCTTTTAGGCAGAGGAATGAAAATAAAAACAAAAAAGGAGTGAGAGAGTCAGTGTGAGACAAAACTATAATGTGATGAGATAATTTATGTCTTAACTCTCCTGTGGAGGTTTGAGATTGTTCCTTAAACTTGACATTGGCTTCGTGTAAAGTGGCTTTGTCCATTTAAAGTGGCGAGTAGAAACTCATTCAGTACCCATCACAGTTCACTATGCCACAGCATACTCAAACCTTTTTCTTTTTTAAAAAGAAAAAACATTAAAGCAAAGAATGGCATGAAGTGCTTATGAATACGTGTCTTTTCATTAATGTACAGCTCCAACAATTTCAGAAGAAATCACAGGCCCCAAGCTGCATCTCTTTCTTAGTGGCCAGACCATAAGAGGAGCCACAGCCACACGTTTGTGAAATTCTGCCTCCGTATGTGTGCTTGGGAGAGCCCCACTGGGGTGCTGGCCACCTTGACCCTTTGGCAAAGTGAGGCACACAGTGGCACATTCGCTGAGAGTCAGCACTCTCTGGGCACTTCTGGCACTCTCTAAGCACTTTGCATAGACCGTCTCCTTTCACCCTTGCCACCACCCCACACTGCTGCTGACACAAAGTGCTCCTGTTTTATATCAGACACAGAGAAGGTAAGTTACCTCCCCAAGGCCACAGAGCCAGGCTTGGGCAGGCTGCAGTCGGGAGTGGCGTTTAGGATGCGTGCTCTCTGCAGAGGGAACTGAGTGCCTATGTTTTTCATTCCTCACAGTTTCCTTTGTGGTTGGCCACAGTTATCTGCATTTTGTAACTAGGGAGCTGAACACAAGCAAAAGTAAATAACTGTTCAAATACCATCAAGGGAAAACACTAATAGTCTTTGATGATTAATTGGACATAAAATATGAAGAACTGGGAAGAGTCAGATATGAGTCTCAGGTTTCAGCCATGCACAGTTTCATTGAAACAGAGTGAAGAGGACAGTATGAGAAAAAAAAAATCGGTTCTATTTTAAACATATGGAGTCTGCAACAGCACGAACATCCACGCGGGAAGGCCTGCTGGAGGATGGCGGTCCTGCCTCGGAGAAAGGTCCAATGGTGCACTGCAAATGCACGCATCGGAGACGAGATTTGGGCAATGCCCAGTCAGGGATCAGAAGGAGGAGGAAGAGTGATGGGAGCCACTGGAGGGCTACTTCATTTGCGGTCGTCTAGCATTCATCAATCAAACTGTGGGTTCCTCACTCAGGTTTCAGGAGGACAAACCGTGGCAATGACTGAAAGAAACTAAACGTTGTGATGCTTTCTCTAAAACGTGATAAATATTATATAGAAAGACATAGATAGAAATGGAGATGTGAAAATGGAAGTAGAAATAGATGATATAAATACACAGGCATTTAAATATAGATATGAATGGAAGGCCACAGTAATGTTTTGATGAGAAGTTAACCTAGAAAGGTTAAAACCTAGAAAAGTTAAACCAAAGGTTTAACTCCTGTTTTACCAAGCCCAAACTGCATCTATATTACCTAAAATTTGCTCTCAGAAAGCATCCTGCAATATATCATGTTATTTTTCAAGTTTATGTACCACAATTGGAGCATTTTATATCATATAATTTAGCTAATTTTTGTATTTTGGATCAATCTGCACTCATCCTCTGGATTAAAAATAAGTTGTGGTCAAGATTTGTGTCTTCTATTCCTTCAGTACAATTATTACACAGTGAAGGGTTGATAATGGAGGCACAATTAGTCACTGAAATAACATTTTTTATTAGAATCTTTTTTGGGCCTGGCACAAAGATAAACAAGTCACAAACAAAATGCTATTACAGCCAGTCACTAAAGACCACATATTGCATGATTCTATTTATATGAAGTATCCAGACTTGGCAAACCTTTAGAGACAGAAAGCAGATCAGTGATTGCCAAGGGCTTAAAGAGAGACGATATGGGTTTTGGTGAGATGATAGCTCAAAGGTAACAGATATTCTTTGGGAGATGATGCAAATGTTCTCAAATTGATTGTGTTGGCGGTTGTGCAGCACTGTGGATATACCAAAAAGAAATGAATTGTACATTTTAATGGATGAATTGTATGATCTAAGAATTATACCTAAATAAAGCTGTTATCCACAAAAATAGTTTCTGAGTGTGTGACAGTATGTGTGAAGTATTTTGGAAGCAAAGAAAAGGAGGGCCTCACTTTGCCCAACAATATGGAGGAAGTTCAATAACCATGTAATCGGCTGGCTGATGGATCGATCGCTGTGCCCACAGCTCTCAGCACCAGATCGCCGCTAGCCTCGACAGCGATCAGCGTTCTCCGAGCTGGATATTAATTCATGAATCCAAGGCCTGGTCACGTGGGGGAGGAGCATGCCCCCAGCTGCCTGGAGCTCCCTGAAACATTTGCTTTACATTCATACTGAAACCCAGAAGAACAGGAAATCAAGCTCTGACATGTGGGCATTTGGTCCTGTGGCCAGAGCTTTCTTTCTCCTTCGAAGATTAATGAAGCACAAAGATGCCAGCTCTTTCCTTTCAACTCCCCACAATAATCAGCTCTCAGCAGCCTGCCAGTTTAATATTACTTCACTTCAATGCTCAGGAACGGGCCCAGTTGGAAAGGGCCAGGAAAACCTGGTCCAAGAGTTTTTATGAAGAACAGCTTAACAACCTCTCTAGAACATTCCATAGGCAATATTACAAGCTTTCCTTTCTTTTTATATCTAGAGATGGGGAAAAGAGCAGGGGGGCATTGGAATCATGAGTCAAATTTCAAAGTCAATAAGTTGAACCTCTCTAGGCCCTGGATATTTTCTAAATTAATTGACCATCAAATTCTTACCCTCTACATCTGTATTACATTAGAGATCATAAAACTATTTGGGGTTTTTTGCTACTTAAAGCAAAGATTGCGTGGGCATAATGCTTTGAGAGGGCCTGTTCCTTTTCAAAAATTATTTTGAATTCATAAAAAGAAACAAGATTATCTTTTGTGTTTATGCATTGCTATTTCCCTCCAAGGAGCTCAAAGGACTTTGTGTCATCTTGTCGGTCTTGATAAGGGAAAATAGAGACACACTTCTGTGTTAGCAGCTGCTGCTAAAGAAGAGCTTGGATTTTCTGCTATGTCTTTTGGTGTTTGCCAACTATAGCATTTGCTGAATTTTCTGAGAGTTGTGCATTCCTTCACTAATTTATTTATTCATCCAGCAAATACCCATATAGTGTGCTAGACACAGATAGATGCTAGAGATACCAAGAGAAGAGGAAGGTGAGACTCTTCCCTCAGAGAATTTATAAGCTAGGGCAAGACACAGGAAATCTAGAAGCAGATAAAGTAACTATAGGATCCAGTGCTGTGAGAGCAGATAGCACAGGGGTTCAGGTTGTCTACTTCACGTAGGATAAGACCAAAGCCCTCTTGGGCTTTCTGTCAATTGAGCAGAAATAGGAGCAGTAGAAGTCAACCACACAGGAAACAAGTCAGGGAAATGTGCTCTAGACATGGGGATCAGCTAGTGCAAAAGCCCTGAGGCAGGGAAAAGTTTTAACAGTTTTAGGAACATACAGAAGGCCAGCATGGCCAGACAGTGGTGCGAGGAAGAGTGGCAAGCAGGAATACGGGTAGTGCCTTAACTGTGGACGCTGTGTTGGAAGCTGGTAAGAATGATATTGGCTATCTATTTAATATGGTGGCTAAAGCTTATTGACTGTCTACCATGGAGCCACGCGCTAGGCTAAACTGTTCCTGTGCTTTCCCTCCCTCCAGACTTACAAGATAGACATCATCATCATCCACAGTTTACAAATGAGAGAAGAGAGGGTAGAGAGTTGAGTTGACCACTTAATATACACAGCTAATAATGTGGGTCAGGGAACAGGGATTTGAACACAGGCATTTTGATGGGAGAGCCGGGCACTTTGCTGTGGCACCTCCTGATGATTGTTTAGCAAACAGAGAGGAGGAGAGCCAGAGAAGTTAACAGATCATTAGCATATAAAGTCTTGGCTTCAGAAAATCAAAAGATGCTCACAGAGCATCTGACAAGGTTAAGAGGTCAGGTGTATCCTGCTGGGGGAATTAATCAGATGGAGAGGTCAAGGGGTCAGTGTTTTAGAGGGAGACAAGACACTGTCAGAGAGCAAGAGTCACTCAAAGGACCCAAGCAATCTGCACGACTGAAACACGGGGCATGGGAGGCGGCTGGGAGCTGCTGAGGAGGAGACGCTGGAGCAGCAGGCAGGTCCAAAGCCATAAGGACCTGACCCTCTTTGCTGACTTCTACCACTGCCCATCACTCCAGGTACCGAGGCTGTCACCAGTGTCAAAGGCAAAAGCAACATCTTTTTCTTTATGCTTGGATGCAGATCAAGGAATATCAATGGAGAAAAACTGCAGAGCGATGTAATAATGGCTACATTATCACCCAGGATGTCATACTTTATATAGGCAAAAGACCACAGAATAGCCAAGTCTCGTTCCAGTCTCAGGACCCATTGGCTGACTCTCCTGAGATGGGCAGGGCGATTTCAAGGATATGTACCTCCGTGTTAAATAAGCCAGATGCAAAGCTATCCCTGAATCTGCCTTCTTGAGTTCAGAGATCTGTGGTTTGAGTTCTTGGGGAAACTGCCTTTTTCTAAAGATAATGCTAAGTTTAGCTCAAAGGTCAAGGAAGGAAATGTCAAGTTGGGAACGCCCTGGAAAGTTCTTGGAGTCATGCTCTCTCCTTACTGCGATGCAAGCCGATGGCTACTTTCCCTTCTTTCTTCATTGTGCTCTGGTTTGGTCCCAGGAACACGCCTTTGGAGACAGTCTGGACCAGCAAGCCCGGCTCTCACAAGGGCTTCCTCTGTGTCAAACATTCCAACTTAGGCTCGCACACCCAGGCCTCCAGGGAAGCCCACCCCAGGGACCTTCCACGAGTGCCTGAAAGCTTCGGGAGCCACCTAGAACCAAAGCATCGTGGGAAAAACACATGAGCAAACAAACTCAGACAGCAATTCATCCCACCACTGGATTTCTTCTATTCTTTAAAGCTTTTCTTTTCTCATTACAGAAAAGTAAAATCTGTTTACTGCTAAGATCTTGGAAAACATAGAAAGAAGCAAATAAAAATCACCTATGAGTTTATTATGTTTTTTATAATGTGGGATAAATCTTTTCAGTTATTTTTTAACTATAAAATATATCCATTTTCTCTTTTACAGAAATACGTATTGCTTATATAAATAAATATGTTATTACAGAAAGCATATAACAGAAAGTGGATCATGTTGCCTAGATGATATCCATTGTCCACTATCCTAATAAGGGTCTGTGTATTTTCTTAATCATTTATGAGTCCTTCCTATATGAAGAGGACCAATCCTTTATTGGTTGCATATGTCATGGCAGAGCACAGCTCTCTCAATAGCGGTCACTGTGGGCAGGACAGACTTTCTTAGAAGGCTTAGAAGGGATTGTGTAAAGTGCAGATATTTGGACACTTGACTTAACTAAATCATAAATGCAGGCAGAATAAATAGTACATAAACCTATGTTTTCAGTAGGACTCCAATTTTTAAATATGTAATTTTTAAAGTATATAATTATAATATTTAATAACATTTATTGAGTCCTTATAATCAATATAGCACAGTACTAAGTAATTCACAACTATTATCTTATTAAATTGTTCTCAGTTACAAGATAAATATTATTCTCACCATTTTACAGCTGGATGAATTGAAGTTCAGAGACGTTAAATTAAACTTACTCAAACTCATAAGATTAATGTCAAAGTCAGAAGTAGAACCATGTTCACTTTATCTCCAAAGCCCAGATATTTCAATATTATACTCACGTGTCTTCAGAAGGACTGGATAGAACTGCAAGAAGTACTAAGGAGATCTTCCTGAGGTCCACACAGCTAGAAATGATAGGATTTTGATAGAAGAGAGTCTAATGTCTAAGGGTGTAGGCTTCAGAATTCCACCTGCAATATTTAAATCTTGGCACACTGTTTCATTGCTGGTGTTTGGGGGGAAGTCACTTAACCTCTCTAAGCCTCACTCCCTTCCAATGTAGAGTAGTTGTAAGAATTAAATGATATAATCCATGTAGAGTCACAGTGCACTGTCACAGAGCAAATTCAATAAACAGTAGCTAATATTTTTCAGTATTTCCCCAAATTTCTCAATGAGCATGTATTTTATCTTTACTTATCGGAGTGTGAAGGTAGGGTTTAGTTTGGTTTTAACTCTAATAGTGAATACATACACATTAAGTGGCAATATTGAATTACATTAAACCGTTTCCTAATTTCTCTGATAAATAATTGCATGCATGTTTAAGAAAACTAACAAGATTTTTATTTGTAGTTGAAAGTCCAAAAATTCAAGAGCAGACCTTTTCATATTCCAAGCAAACTTAACAGAGCCAGATGGAAATCATGTTCTCTAGCACAACATTTTTGCCAGAGTTACTCAGGTACTCCTTGAATGCCAACCACCATTCTACATCGTGTAAATGTGCTCTGTGACAGTGTTTTTCAGAGTGAATTCTTCACCAACCCCAGAGTCCTTTGCTCAAAATGCAGATTCCTGAGTCCCAACTCTCATCTAGTAAGTGTGAATCTCAGGAGATGGGCTCCGGGAAACTTCTTTTTTTTTTTCTTTTTTTAAACTTCTTCCCCTGGTAACTCTTACACATGCTGACATTTGCAAATCACCACTGCAGGAAATCCAAACTTGATGGAAGAAAATGGGAGGTGGGTTCTGAGTCTAGTTCTAACCAACCAGCTGTGTGTCCTTGGGAAAGCCCCTTCCACTCACCCCATCAGTTTCTTCTGTCTCATGAATCCAAAGGCTTCCCCATTTCTTCCAGGAATATCGTTCTTTCTACACATGTAAAAATGTATGGTGCACAGAATAGTGGGCAAACGCTTCATGGAGATGAAACCAGACATAACCAAAAGGAAGAGTAGGGATTCATTTGACAAAGGTTATTGAGTATTCCAGCAACAATGAGCACAGCTAAGGTTGGAGTGGCAACGAGACAGCATTCCTGATCCGGATCATCAGCTTCTCATTGGAAAGTAGATGAAGGCAAATGATGCGTAAGGACATAAAATAGCCTTGAATGTCAGGATAGAAAATTGTTATTTTTTTAAGTAGGCAACCAGTGATCATTGGTAGCTGATAAACAGGGGGCTGGCATAACAGAAGTGCTGTTTTGGATGTCAGGAAATGTATGAGGCTGTGGCAGAATGGCCATTTAGGAGGCTCCTAGGAAGTCTGGTAAAAGAATGACAAGGGCATAAATCAGATTGGTAGTGGAATACAAAGAAGTGATTAAAAAAGAGTTGAAAACTTCCAGTTTCAGCTCTAACAAAGAAAGAGCTTAGAAGTCATCACCTCCAACTTTACAACAAGAAAAACCTAGACAAACTGAAAATCAATGACTTTTCATGGATTTTTATGGACTTTTCAGAAAACTGAGATCACAGAGAAAATCCCTGAATTTGAAGTGATTGGCACATCCAGACAGTCTCAGCAGAGATCCACTTACCTAGAGCAAAAGATGCTAGAGCCATAAAGTAGTAGGAACACTTAAATGGTAAACTTGAGGACATTCTTGAGGCAGAGAATGAACTAGCCCAAGAGTGGAGAACACTGTCTGTCAGCAGTGTAGGTGTGGGAAATACTTTCATAGGTCTTACCTCCAGAACCCATCAGGTTCTCATGATGAAGAACCGAATATGATCTCCTCATCACTCAGGCAGGAAAAAAGGAAGAGTAATCACAGTGAAACAAGGCCAGAGAATTCTCTAAAATGAAAGCCTACTCTCCAGGACAAAGACTTTACAGAGCCCTATCCCACCCAGGGGATGGGAACTTCTTCCACTCTAGCCCATGTTAGACTTCCAGTCTCACCTAAGGAGGTAGGGATGAGAGAGGGATAAGAAACTCTTGTGAATGTCACCGGTCCACTTAAAACTGAGATTTTATCATAAATTCATGAACACCCTCCCTCCTTAACACTCTCTACCACCTGAACTGGACTCCAGTATAATAATAGCATATTAGAGCTGAAAGAGCTGCAATACCCAGACATTATCTGAGTAGGAGTTCTTAGAAAAGCCCAAAGTCAACAGGAGAGAGAAAAATAAGAACACTGAAAGAATTTTAAACCTCTGTAACCTATAGCTACAGCAAACAATACAAATATCACATTATCTAGCCAGATTAACTTAAAGCTTCACACTAAAATCTTATTTACTTCCATTTCTATTAATTGATATGTCTGGCTTTCAACCAAAACTTACAAGTCAAAAAAGGGAAAAAAACTGAAAATATAATGTATGCATCAGAATCAGACTAAGATACAGAAGCAAGCTTTGAATTTTGAATCAAACTGGGAATTTAAGATAACTATGATAAATATATTTAGGGCTCTAATAAAAAAAAAATACAACATGAAAGAACAATATATACCTAAGTAAATAGAAAGAAGAAAACTCTAAGAATCAAGATGCAAGAAATCAAAAACATTATAATAACTCTTTTTATTTTTTAAATTATAAATTGACTTAAAATAATTTCACTTAAAGCAATAATAGTGACAATGTATTGGGCAATTATAGCACATGGTTAAATAAAATGAATGACAGCATGTCATAAGGGACAGCAGGGAAGAAATGAGAATACTCTGTTATAAAGTACCTGTACTACATATGAAGTGCTATGATATTATTTAAAAGTGAATTTAGTTTTGAATGTATTTTACAAACTCCACAGCAATCAACACAATTTCTTTTAAAAGAAGTATAATTGATACATTAAGGGAAGAGATAAAATGGAATTATACAAAATGTTTTATTAAAACCAGAGACAGCAGAAAGGGAAGAAAAAGAAAAAAAAAAAAAAAAAATAGAAAACTGTTACAAACATGCTAATTATTAATCCAAGTATGCCAATAATCACTTAAATGTGAATGATCTAAATACACCATTTAAAAGACAAAGATTGTCAGAGTAGATTTTTTCAAAAACTCAAGACCCAATTCTATGCTGTTTATAAGAACCTGCTTTAAATATAAAGACAAGGCTAGATTAAAAGTCAAGAAACGAAGAAAGGTACACCATGCTAATACCAATCAAAAGAAAGTTGGAATAGCTGTATTAATTTCAGAAAAAGCATATTTCAGCGCAAAGAAAAATATTAGGGATAAAGAGGAGCTTTACATAGTGACAAAGGGTCTCTATGACATAGAGACATTGATATGTCTCCAAGAAGACATATCAATCCTAAATATGTATATACCTAATGACAAAAGCATCAAAATATGTGAGACAAAACTGCAATTAAAATAGACAAATCATTATTATAGCCGAAGACTTCAATATCTTGTTTTTAATCAATTAATAGATTGGGCAGAAAATCAGCAAGGATATATTTGGCCTGAAAGCACTACCAATCAAATTGATGCAATTGACATTTATAGATTATTCCATTTCAAAACAGCAGAATATATGTTCATCTCTAGCTCACATGGAACATTCACTAAAATAGACCAAATTCCAGGCCATAACACAATACCTTAACAAATTAAAAAAAAATAGAAATCATACAAAATATGCTCTCAGACAATAATGGACTTAAACTAGAAATCCCTCATACAAAGATAGTAGGAAAATCCCCCAATTTTTGGAGATCAGACAATATACTCCTAACTAATACATGGATCAAAGAAGAATTCTCAATATAAACTTTAAAAATATTTTGAACCAAATAAAAATGAAAATACAACTTATCAAAACTGTGACATGCCACAAAAGTGGTGCTTAGAGTGAAATTTATAGCATTAAATACATATACTAGAAAAGAAGAAAGATTCAAAATCAATAATCCAAACTTTCACCTTAGGAATCTAGGGAAAGAAAAGTGATTTAAGCCCAATGTGAGAAGAAAGAAAAAAAGCATAAAAATTAGATTAGAAGTGAATAAAATTGAAAACAGGGAAACAGTAGAGAAAATCAATTAAACTAAAAGCTGGTTCTTTGAAAAGAGCCATGGTTAGCCAGGCTAGGCAAGGATAAAAGAAATAAAATACAAGTTATTAATATCAGAAATGAAAGCAGGGTCATCACTACTGATCCAATGGACAAAAAGAATGACAAGATTCCAAATTTAAAGAATGGTATGATCTATTAAGTGAAGGAGAGGAAATAGCCAGTGTGGCTAACAAGACGGCCATTTTATTGACAGCTGGCTGACTCTGGATGGGGCTGAGACGGATGCACGCATGCGTGGGAAGGGGCTGCTGAGACGGATGCATGCATGCGTGGGAAGGGGCTGCTGAGACGGATGCATGCATGCGTGGGAAGGGGCTGCTGAGACGGATGCACGCATGCGTGGGAAGGGGCTGCTGAGACGGATGCACGCATGCGTGGGAAGGGGCTGCACAAACAGGCCGGCGCGGGAGCAGCCCAGCTGCAGGGCCTCGCGCTCCCGGCAGGAGACGCAGCCAGCGGCACGATGGCAACTTCCAAGGTGAAAGTGGCTGGTGCTGCCCAGCGGCTTAGCAGCAGGTTTGCCTTAGCACCTTCAAATCCCTCAAATACATAGGAATGCATGTGAAATAATGAACTCGCTATCTATGTGCAGTTTTAAGGAAGGCTCCTAGACAAGCCCTCCTACCAAAGCAAAGGCTGACCCCAGGGCCCTGCTGTGTAGGGATTAAACAGCCACCTCGGCCAGTGAAATCAGGTATAATAAGGAACTAATTTCAGTATCCAAAGGAGTTCCCTGTGAGGTGGGTCATAGCTGCAGGAACGTCTCAGAAATATTATAATAGCCCCCTACAAGGATGGCACTGTACCTCCTCATGACGCTGCTGGGCAGAGGAGCAATCACCTCCCAGGGGCTGAGGAGCGCACGCCAGGTCCCCAGCAGGAGTTGTGTCAGGGCATTCGCGCGCTGCGTCACACCCAGGACACGGCGCGTGGAGGGACAGGAGGCGGAGTCCCAGTGGTGTGGACAGGGCGAGCAAGAACACAGTGGGAGCAAGACTTCATGCCACAAGCAAGACGTGTGTTCCAGACCCTGGCTTCAAGCAATTTAGTTATTATTGTATTGTTCATTTTAAAGATAAGGAAATAGGTCAGAGCAATTACTTAATGTAGCTAATAAAGTCATATAACTATTAAGTGATAGAGCTAGTTAAGATTCTCTGATATGAATTAAAATTCTCTGTCTCTATCACCATGTGGACCTTCTACTATTAAGTCACGGTGCCTAGTCATCTTTGTAAGCTGCCGTTTTCCCCAGCACTAAGTTCCTTCATCCAGCATGCTGAAAATCACACTAATACCTGATCATGAGCAGGCACATGGTAACTTCTCTGGAGTCATTTATTCCTAAAATGGGAATAACAATAACAATATCAACATTACCAGTTGGGAATATGATACCCTATTCACTAAATTAATTCTAAGTAAAGAATACTTTTCAAAATCTAAAAGGCTATCCATATATTTGAGTAAAAGATTTCATAAAGATGTGTATCTTGGAAGCATAAGAGATGCATGTAGTAATGAGAGCTGTAAATATCAATAAACTCTGCATAGGAGAGAATTTGAAGTTCATAGAGAAAAAATAAAGCAGCAAAGGAATCACTCACAGTAGGTGGTGGGAAATCTGGGCTGTATATCATAGGGCCGTGTTCCCTAAACTTTTGGGCACCAGAGACCAGTTTCGTGGACAACAGTTTTTCCATAGATGGACGGGGCCGTGGGATGGTGTGGGGATGAATCGAGGGCATCACATTCACTGTGCAGCCAGACCTCTCTCGCAGCCGCTCCCAGCGCCAGCACCGCCGCCTCAGCGGCACCTCAGGTCGCCAGGCATCAGGTTCTCAGGAGGAACACTCTATATCCCACGCATGCGCAGTCTACAGTAGGGTTAGCACTCTTATGAGAAGCTAACACTGCTGGTGTTCTGACGGGAGGCGGAGCTTATGTGGTGACGTGCACGATGGGGAAGTGTGATGGGGAGTGTCTGTAAACACAGATGAGGCGTCGCCGCTTGCCTGCCACTCACCTCCTGCTGTGTGGCCCAGTTCCTAGCAGGCCATGGACTGGTACTGGTCAGTGGCTCAGGGGTTGGGGACCAGAGTTATAAGGGAATCCAAGAGCAAGACAGTCTCAAGAATGCATGGAAACTCAATATTGAAAAAAAAAAAAACAGCTCAATGAAAGCAAAGTAACTATAAGTGGCTGGAAGGAGACCATTGGTCATCTTGATGAGAGAATTATCAAGGAAGTTGTTGGCATCGACCCCAGACTTCATGGAGCCAAAGTTGGCTTTGGGTATGTATAGCAGATGGCATGAATGACACAAAACTTGAAGCAGGGACCACACGTTATCTGCTTAAGTATCTGAGCAATGAAAGGAAGAAACAGTAGTAGTAAAGGGAAGGAACAGTTTTCTTTACAGCTGATGAGATCTGTGCAGGAAAAGAGTAGAGATGCGAAAAACAGATGGACTTGGCATTGAAGCAGAGCTACCAGACACTGAGAAAGAATGGGATCTTGAGCATAAGCAGGGGTGTGAGTCAATCACCTGGAGACAGAGCTGTGTTATGATGGAGAATGAGGTGGGTAAAGTTACAGAGATGGTTCCTCTTACTATATGAAACTTACAGCAGATTTCCCATTGGGTAGATATTTCAGGAGTAAGCTGTATACCAGGTTTACCAGGGTCTCAAACTCAGATACCTTTTGGGGACAGGAAGGTGATAGTATAAGTGAGCTGATGTGACATGTAATTAAGAACCTTGAGATTCTACAAACCAATGTGCTTTTTCTCACATTTTTCTTGAAGCATATGGCCTTTCTGGTTTATCTTTTACTTCATCGATTTTGATGGAGACATAGCCAGAGAGAAGGGTTTCCCTTTAGTGAGAAAACCAATGCTCAATATGTGCTTATAAATGCAAGCGACACTTGGTCTCAGAGTCAAGGACAGGATGCTGAGTCTGAGGGCAGGTGGAATGCATATCCTAGAGAGGGTGGTCACTGACCAGTTCTTACTCAATGTTGCCACATAAGTGTATGGGTCAAGAACTGTCAGATATTTTAAGAGATGCCAGAACTCTGGATGTTTATGTGAAATATCCTGATTTTTTTATGTTGGCTCAATTGAAAACAAAACAAAACAAAACAAAACAAAAAAACGAGACTAGGTAGGCCATCTGGGCACCAGATTTTTCCATGCATCCATCTGCATCCTCAGTTGTATACATTCAACTGAACCTGTCACAGACCTGGAAAACAGCTTTTGATACCTGAAAGTCAGATTTATTTGTGGTTTGCTTTGTTGCACTGATTAAAGGGAAAGAGAGGGAAAAAATCCTTGAAAGCCCAGTGAGCAATTTGGGATTAACGGTTTACCAGGACAATTGCTATGGGGAAAACAGAGTGGGAGGCTTAAGCTAAATGGGTTCTCTAACAGCTGAGCAGTTGTTTGTTTGACTTCGATAATAGGAGGCATTCTCATGGTCAAGCTACGGTTTGCCTTCCCTGTAATGACAAAACTACATGTATGTGGTAATCCAACAATGGGGTCTTGGTAAAATGAATGCTAGTGAAATGCTGTGCAGACATTGACATATCATGACTTAGAAAAATGTTTATTTTTTTTGGTAGTTTGCCACTCTATGTTGGTTATTGTTCCAGACAATATCATCAAAATTTTCAGTTTTAAAACAGAGTAAAATATTACACAAAGCACAATTCCATGTCTTCATAAATTCTTCCTTTTCATTTCATTTTCTAGAATGAGAAGCTCTTTTTCTTAGTATTGGGTTGTTTAGGCTCTGGAGTAGCACAAATTAATGCTACAGGAAGCTGTGACGCGGGATAGCAGGATTTTAGGAGATTTTAGATTGTTTGTTTCATCATAACACTCATGCCAAGGCAGCCAAGAAATACCCCATCTATGCTTAATTCTGAGACTATTGCACAAAGTTATTCCCAAATTCCAAATTATAATACATTTTCAACTTCCCTTCCTTTGATTATGTTTCTCTCTTTTATGGTGAACACCATTGGTTGTCTTCTAATGTCCATTTTCACCATGACAGTAAAATCTTAACTGGGCACTGGGATGCTTCGAAAAAGGCAAAATTTCCAGTCTTCCTTGGCAACTAGAAGGAACATGCAACCAAGTTTTGGCCAAGATAAGAACCTTCGGGAACCTTCCTTTAGGGCTGTTGGCCCATGACCTGTGCCCTCTTCCACTTAGTGGTCTCTTCCTGCCTCTTCCTGCTCAGTGTGGATGCTGCCATCTTGGAGCCAAAGGATGAAGGCTATTCTTTAGCAATGGCAAAGTGTGATCTGGAATAAGAAACTGAGAATATTTTGGAGCACAGCTTCCTTCCTTTCTGAGCTACATGTTTAGAGCTGAATTCTATCCTAAGTAATATACCTTCCTGCCTCACTCTGTACATAGATACATCTGATGTGTGTGTTGAGGTGAGGCAGCTAATGAACCACAACCCTGCCTTCACCATTTGTCTTAAGAGCTCTATTCTCATCCTTTACTATTTTGTACAATTCATAACTAGATTCCTTTATACCCCAATTAAATCTTTAAAAGATTAAATTGTTATATTGGATAAGTAAGAACCTCTACTCTCTAATTTTTTCATCAAAACTTTGCTTATAATTTTAAGAACCAAAATTATAATGCAACTGGAAATCTGGCAAGTGTCTTCCCATGACCCTATTTATCTTCATTTAAAAAATATTTTTGGCTTTTTTTATGACTTTATTCCATAAAAACATAAAGATCATCATATTAAGTTTCCCCAAAAACCATGTGGAAATTTTCATTGGCATTTTATTAAATTTATGATAATATGAAGAGAATCTATCACTTTTCTACAATAAATCTTTTCTTCCCAGAAAATATTTTCATGTATTTAGTTAAATTTTCTCTCTTGTCCATAGTTACAGATCCCATAAATTTCTAATTAATTCCTGGATACTTTTGTAAATTTTGTTTCTTTTGAAATACCTATTTATTACTTGGCATTTTGATTCTTAACACATCATATACTAAATAAACATTCAGAGGAAAAGCAAGGCTGATTGGATTGTAAATTCACAAATTTTTAAAAAATCATTGCTACTGACAGAAGTAAAAGTTGCACTATGAATGTTTCAGTAATTTTGTATATGACAAAATTTTTAAAATAGGAAAAAGTTTTATTTAGTTCAGAGTGAAACCATACCCATACGTGTCTTTTGAAGGCTTTGCCTCATTTTGATAGCGGTTCGCTTCTTTGTGTCAAATTACTGATCTGGAAACCTTGACATTTCCATTCCTCTTTACAAAAGTGAGAAAAACTTGTAAGATTAAAAGAATGCTTATAATTATTTAGTGCACTTCTCTCATTTTCTTTTCTTTTTCTTTCTTTGCCCAGGGTACAGTGAGTGCCGTGGCATCAGCCTAGCTCACAGCAACCTCAAACTCCTGGGCTCAAGCGATCCTCCTGCCTCAGCCTCCCGAGTAGCTGGGACTACAGGCATACGCCACCATGCGCGGCTGATTTTTTCTATATATATTAGTTGACCAATTAATTTCTTTTTATTTATAGTAAAGATGGGGTCTTGCTCTTGCTCAGGCTGGTTTCAAACTCCTGACCTCGAGCAATCTGCCTGCCTTGGCCTCCAAGAGTGCTAGGATTACAGGCGTGAGCCACTGCGCCCGGCCCATTCCTCTCATTTTCTACACAAGAAAATAGGCCAACAAAGATAATGGAAAGGTAGTGTGGCTTGGCCAATATTATCCGGTTATTTTTGTTTTTCTTAATGAGAACATCTAATAAGTACAATAAGAATAGAACAGCAAAGAGAGAAATAATTTATTGTCCAACAAACATAGGTTTGAACCTTGGGCTGCCCATGTACAAAACTGAGTGACTGTGGTCTCTCTCTACATTTCAGTTGCCTGATCAGTAAAAGTCGTGGACCGTGACATCAAACTTGCAAAGCTGTTGTGAGGGTTAAATAACAAAGTGCATTAAAAACCAACCCAGGGTTGAGCACATGGCACTGAGTGTGTTTCACAGGGGCCCTGTCCTCTTTACATCTGAGGATAGGAGAGCTTCTGCCACCAGATACAAAAGGGATTCTGCGTGAAGCCGTGGTGATGACATTATTCTGACAGCTACAGGGAAAATTGAGAAAATAATCTTCATTCAAAGAATCAGTTGAAATAAGGCTGAAATCAGTTGAAATCAGTTGAAATATATGCTGGGCCCATATATAGCAAAAGACATTTGAGCCCAGAGCCCTTACGATTAGTAACAGATATGCCGGCATTGCTGTGAAGACCCTCACTGGGTTTAGAGCTTGTTTTCAACTAAGGAGTCACAAAGTATCTCTACTGTGGGTAGCTTTAGTGACTTGGATTTGGAGCCATTTTAATATTTAGAAACCGTGGGTGAGAATTTTTGTTTCGTTATTTTTGCAGGCCAGTCACTGAAAAATAATAGTTCACTTCTAACTTTTATCTACAGTGGTGCAGTAGCTGCTGAGTGTTTTCTCTATGCTGGGCACCACCTCATGCAAATCTGTTCCATGAATCTTGGGTTTCTTCGCAGGTGTCCCGTCCTGGAAGGACACAGAATTCTCATGCATGCTGAATGAAGGACAGTGTCCTGGGAGGCGGGGACTCAGACATATGCCACGTCCAGAAAAGTATAGCATCCGGCTGACTCTTAAATAATCAGTTCTGACAGTTACAGATGGAGTAGAATTTACACTCAGGAAATGTCAGTCAGAGAGTGTCTCTGTGTAATATCAGGAAGGTTCACTGTGCTAAC